TCTCTACCCAGCCTTTAGAATCTATTCCCCATGGTTACGATCACCCCCACATGCTCCACTCCACTGCCTGTCTCTCCATCTGTTGTATTTACCTGTTAACCTTAAGCCAAATTTTAAAAACTGCCTATTCCTTACCTGAGCCTGCTTAGTATCAGGCGGCTAGAGAAAAAATACAACCATGGCAGCTTGTCTTATTTGAACCTCAAGTTAGCCATGCTGGATGCCCATTGATCCTACTTTCTCATCTCTCAACCCCAACCCCCACCCCACCCTCAGTTTATTTCACTGAGAAAACAGAAGCAACCAAAATAACTTAAGCAGAATCCCACTGCCTTACCAACTGCCCATTATATTCTGCATCTCCTTCTTTCTATGAAGGTTGAATGTGTCTCCATGAACCCATCCTCCCTTGTCTACTCAAGGACCTCTTTTTCCTCTCAAACATTCCCATCATTAACAAAAAGCTGTAATTTCCTGCAGCTTAAAATCCAATCAATCTCAGATTAATTTTCCCTGTCAAACCATCAATGGCAAAATACAACTGTAATATCCCGCATCTTAAAAAGATCATGAATGACTTTTCCAGAAACCTCATAGGAAGAATCGCAATAGTTGTCTTCAGTTCTTCTGCCAGTCTCTGTGGGACCCACTCCTCTCGGGCTTTGTCACCATCGTGCTGAACCTGCTCTGGGGGAAGTATCAGTTATCTCCACACTGGTCCATTTTGAGCCCTCATTTTATTTCACTTACCAGCAGCACGTGACAGTTAATCATTGCCCCTTGAAACTATTATTCATTTGGTTTAGGGGACAACACTTCTCTTTTGAGACAGGGGCTTGCTCTATCACCGAGGCTGGAGTGCAGCAGCACCATCATAGCTCACTGCAGCCTCCAACTCCTGGGCTCAAGCGATCCTCCTGCCTTAGCCTCCTAAGTTGCTGGGATTACAGATACATGCTACCATGCCCAGCTCATGTTTTTATTTTTTAATTTTTTGTAGAGACCTGATCTATGTTTCCCAGGCTAGTCATGAACTCCTTGGGATCAAATAATCCTGCCCTGCTTGCCCTCCCTAAGTGCTAGATTTACAGGCCTGAGTCACCACACCAGCTTATTTTTTAAATAAATCCACCAGTGGAATACCCTTCTTGGAATGTCACCAGTCTCAACCCAACCTCACTAGCGACTCCATTTGCTGGCTCCTCGCCTCCCCAGATGTAAGCATACCCACGTGTCAGTGCTCGGTCCTCGACCTCTTCTCTGCAGTCAACCCATGTGCTTCCTGTCTCAGGATGATGCTGCCCTATGCACTTCTCAGGCTGGGCCTTTCTCCTCAACTCCGGTCTGATACATGCTAATGCCTATGTAACAATCCCACTTGGAAGTCTGAAAGACACTTAAAACAATGTCTGAAACCAAAATTCCTCTGCACACAATACCCTACCCCCAAATCAGCCAGTGGGCATTCCATTGTTCAGTCATTACTCAGCCGAACACTTTGCAGACGTCCTTGACTTTTCGCTGACCACACTCCACAAGTCCTGACTCTTCCACCTTCAGCATGTGTCTAGAATGCAACCACTTTCACCACCCCTGCCAGCTCCGGTCAGGTTCAGATCTCCGCCATCTCTCACCTGAATTCTTCCAAGAGCCTTCTAGTTGGTCCCTGTTCCACCCCACCCCCTTAGGGTCTATTCCCAACAAAGTCCGAGATCATTTTCAGTCAGATTATGTGACTTTTCTGCCTCACTGGCTTCTCATTTTAATTATTTTTCAGACAGTCTCGCTCTGTTGCCCAGGCTAGAGTGCAGGGCACAGTGTCAGCTCACTGCAACCTCTGCCTGCCTCCCAGGTTCAAACGACTCTCCTGCCCCAGCCTCCCGAGTAGCTGGGTCTATAGGCGCACGCCACCACGTCCAGCTAATTTTTGTATTTTTAATAGAGATGGGGTTTCACCATGTTGGTCAGGCTGGTCTCAAACTCGTGACCCACCCACCTCAGCCTCTCAAAGTGCTGCGATCACAGGCGAGAGCCACCACGCCCAGCCAGCTTCTCATTTTACTTAGAATAAAAATCAAACCCCGACACCCCCAACTTCTTTCCTTACCACTTTCCTTTCCTCCCCAGCCACAGTGACCTCCTCGGTGTCTGCTGAGCCTAGCAGGAGAATCCTGCTTTGTATATAGCATTTTCTCTTCGTCCCACATTTTTTTTCTCACAGGGAAATGTCTTCCTCTCACTTCCGGTATGTTTCTGGTCAAATGCTTCCTTATCTCTGAGGCTTTCCCTGATCACCCTCTATAAAAATGGGGTGGGCGCACACAGGCACACGCCTTCACATTTTGTCCATTAGAAAAACCATTCCAATGAGGATTCTTGACTGACTTTGTATATTCTTAACCGTGTGCAGTACATAAAAATCACTTTTTTAAAAATTGCTGAAACAAATCCATATTTATCATCATCTGACATACTATAGATTTCTCTTCCTGCTGGAATGAAAACTTCAAAAACACAGAATAGTGCCTAGTGCCCAGGAATTGTTCAGTAAATACTCAAGTGAATATAAATGACCTACTCTGGACTTCTTTTAGTGTGTTCCTTTTTACTAAAAGCTTCATATTAAAAGACCACATCTTACTCAAAGCTTGTTACTTACCACCCTCTTTTGGCAGTTCTATTAGCAAATATCCAAGGTCATTTTTTAAAGACATGTAAATAATTGGTTTAACTTCTTTTCATGCAAATGGCATTTTTCTTGCAAAAAAAAAAAAAAGAAAATCCCATTTTTGAAAATGAGCTGAAATGAAATCAGTTTTCTGTAGACCTGCAATGTTCTCTGACAAGTGGGAGCACTAAACCATTGCTGGTAGGATGAACATCCTGCTGTCAATCCAGCATCTATCTTCTCTTCTATTGCTCCTTGTGTGCGAAGTACGGGAATGCTTTGTAACCTGAGAGCAGCATTATCATTATTACCTTTCCGGGGCTCCCTGTGCCAGGCATATCGGCCTACACTGTGTAGGGAAGCGGTAAAGAGGATTGTAACAGATATAATTAAAGGCCAAACCACACATTGTCATAGAGATTTTAATAGATTTTCTGATTAACTCATCACAGTAATCATTTTTACTGTAATGATATGCAGCTTTACTACACTAGTATAAATAAAAACAGATAAATACAGCTCTAGGCAACATCACAGATTAACAAACTAAGCATTCTTCATGAACCAAAACTGAAAACAATTATGAAGAAGAGATGCTGACACCCTTGCCCATTCTCATCATACCTTCTCAAAAAAGGGTATTCAAATAAGGCGCTACGCTGATTATATTGGTAAATTAATTCGCCAGTTAGCCAGGCACAACAATTTCAGGGTCTCCACTTCCATGGTTTGGTTGAAAAGCAGACACACCTCAATGTATCAAAAACAAAAATGGAACAGATAATAACACCAAAGAAAACCACTAAATGCATTAAAAATACGGCACTTTTCCTGTATTTTAGCAGTAAGACACGCTAGGGATAGAAATATACCAAAGAAGAAAATTAATGCTTTAATTAATATCCACCCTAAAATGTCTCTGAAGCAAGATGGGCAATGAAAGTAGAAGCAGAAATAAAAACTGGAAATATGGAAAACAAAATCCATGTGAAGTTTAATGCATGAAACTATCTGCAAAGAAACCAATTTCTCCTTTGAAGGCTTGTGACTCAGGGCAATTAAGTTATCCAATAGCCACGCTGAAGAGTTCATAGTCTAGCAGTACCTTGCACACAGCAGATACAATTAAGACGAGTTGGAGATATACAGAACTATCATTTAGAAATGATTTTACTCTGGATGGCCACACAAACTTTGAAAGGGCTATGAAGAAAACCTGAAGCCTGTCAAAGGAGGGAAGTAATAAGGACTAATTTTAGGCAGATAGCACAGCTAACAGTGTTTCCCAAAGTCCCGAAAATTTTGCTCAACTTTCAATCCTCATTCTTATATGGCTTCATCACCTTATAAGTCTTCAGGGTCTTGCCGATCTTAACAGGTATAATGAAAAACCAGGAAGTAAAGAATCACTTTCCAAATGTAAAAACTGCTGACTGCCAGTTGTGTTTCAGAAAATATCTGTCTGGGCTAGGCACGGTGGCTCACGCCTATAATCCCAGCACTTTGGGAGGCTCAGGCAGACTGCTTGAGCTCAGGAGATCGAGACCAGCCTAGGCAACAAGGCAAAACCCCATCACTACTAAAAATGCAAAAAATTAGCTGGGCATGGCGGCACGTGCCCATAGTTCCAGCTACTTGCATGGCTGAGGCGGGAGGATCACTTGAGCCCAGGAGGTCGAGGCTGCAGTGGGCCAAAACCATGCCCCACTGCACCAGCCTGGGTGACAAGGTCAGATACTGTCTAAAAAAAAAAAAAAAATGAAAATGTCTGCAAAACTTCATTTTCCTATCAAAAATGCATAATCACAGAATATTTAGGCCAGTCCTTTGAGTAAATTGCCTTTGCCAACTGTGAATTAAGCCTGTGATTAAAGCAGACACTTCCAAAAACAAAAATCCCAAATATACTCCAGTGCATTTTAACTCATCCTGCAAAAATGTTCAAACCATCATTGATCACTTCAAATATGGATGTGACCTAGCCCAAGATTCAACAGTTATTTTCAGATTAAAATTTTAACTGCTATCTTTGCAATTCTATTGTTTTCAAATTTCTTTTTAAGAAGGTAAACAGTATGTAACTTTTGGGTTTAATCTCCAAAGTAATGTAGTTTTTCAGCTTTCCAGTTAATGGGTCAAAATGGACAGGTCAGAAGACAGAATCCAGAGGATGGCAGTGAAAAATCAGAGAAAGGTTTATGTACACACTGGATCACAGAGAGAGAACCACACCTCTTTTTAAACCTTTGTTCCCACTGTAAACTTTGTTCACATCTCCATATTTGTAAGTCTGAATTATTCTATAAAAATCACATTAGAAAGGTAAAATTACTTAAGTGCAATATTAACTGATCTGTATTTTATAAATTTTAATCCATAAAAATATAAATAAGAATGGTAAATTTTTAAGAAAAAAATATACATTTAGTGCAAGTTATGAATTACATTTCTTCTTCAGTGTCAGCCATGAGATATCTTGCGAAAAGAAAAGAATGACTGATCTAATTTCAATTTAATTACAAAATTCCAGTGTTTTAACATGCAATTAATACCAGATACAGCTAAACAGAATACTTCCTTCTCTTAACTATCAAAGCAGCAGCATTTTGTTTAATTATGCTGAACAGCATTTGTATATCATAGTAGTTTTAGAAATAGAAAATTTGCATAAGACCAGGTCACATTATCCATAAAGTCTGAGATGAAAACAAAATGAAAACTGTTTATCCTTCAAAACCAAGCTTCCCTGCTTCCAGTTTTGAACCACATGGCATGCGATGAGCGATTTCGTTCACGCTTCCTTCGAGATTTTACCTGTTCGGTCAGCCTTGGCTGTGGTGCACATGTACTGTTCCAAGCATTTAGTGATGGTACAAACTACATGGTTAATGGCACGAGAAACACTCCCTTCTTGTGAGGAAATCTCAGTAAAATCACAGTACATCTCAATATGAGAAAGGACTGCTTCAAGAGGGGACATCGATTTAAAGAGGCTTTGTTACAGCTCAGGAGAGAAAGAGAGAAATAAAGGCTCTTCTGGAATGTAGAAAGGTAATGCTTAACTATACAATTCGTGAATGAAACACAACAGTTTTGATAAAAAAAAGGGCAAGACCTTGCAGTTTTATAGATGGCTCAATTCAAAGTAATCCCTCCAGAAACAGGGACTGAGAATGTGTCTTTGCAATGTTGGAGCAACGGGCCAGGTGCGCAAGGACTCCGCTGCCATCTCTGGTGAGGCCAAGCCTGCACTATCATGGCACATCCTCGGCTCAATGCATCCAGTGCAGAACAAGGAGTTGCTTTGCTGCTTTCGGTTAGACGGGAAGTACCTCACTCCTTTCCTTCTCTCCTTTCCCTCCCCAAACAACTCCTCCACTCCACCAGCATCATTTGCAAACCTTGTTGCAAAAACCCGGCTTTTAGATTTCCTTTCTTTTTTTGTAAAGGAGGAAAAAAAAGTAGACGACTCCCTCAGGTTAAAGAGTTGTGCTATTCAGCAAATAAACTTCCTCTTCCGTTTCTTCTCTCTCCTCGTCTATGAGATTCAGTTGAACATTATTGAAGCGGGGTCTTGGTTTGCCGTCTGAGCCATATGCCGGAGGATATCTTTTTTTGTTATAATGCCAAGGAGGCGCCTGAAACGAATAAACAAAGACTGCTATTGAAATAAAAGGGAAAAATAAAAGAACAAGCTACATCTATAAGTAAATCCTTTTTGTTGACAGGAATAGAGCAGAGCAAGCAGCCTGATTTTGTATTTCCAAAAAGTACTTTATTGGTAAAGATATTAAAATGATCCAGCAACCATCCTTTGGTATAAAAAGTGACTACGGTCACTAATTGTATGACAGCCTTTCCACTGAGAATCTGAGGACTGCATGGCTCACTGAAGTAGAGCTATTTTGATTAATGTATGCCAACAAAAAAGTAACAAAAAATGGGTGAATGTATGAACAGGAAATGATAGTGATCCCATTTGAGAAGGAAAATTCATTTCCATCATATCAAGAAAGCAGTCAAATGTCTGATGACCAAATCCCTTCACTACTTTCCTTTTTTTTAACCAAAATTAACTAATTTTTAAAAGACAATTTAAGGATTGCCCACTTGTATGCAAAATCTTCATGAAAGCACATACTATTGAGATAAAATGCATATAAAATAATCAACACAGAACTTCGATCCCAAACATCAGAGCCCCAAGAACAAATCTATAAAAGAACCCAAGTTTCTAGGACACTTATCAATGTTTTCCTTTTTTGACTTTGGCCAGAAAAATTAAGATACAGTGCTTTTATGAAAGTCTTAGTTGTTAATGCTTACATTAAAAGATAGGTGAAAAATCAGAAGGCAGTCCTAAAAGATTATTGTAGGTGAAGCAGAAAGCAGAATGAATGAGTAGCTACGATAATATTTTGGTTAGTAGTTTTTAAAAAAAAGGATGCATGAAACATTTGTGAAATATTAGCATACAACAGGAATACATAATCAGTTGTGTACTTAAGCAAACTGGGACAGGTTTCATACAGGTATGACAATTGCAGGGCAAAATAATTTCAGGTATTAATTGCTAAAGCCAGACATTTTTTATGTTATGCAGTAAGATCATTCAAATTTGTACTCATGAAACCACTAGGACATAAAGCCAGTAAAAACGAATGCACTTGACTCTAAAAGCTGCTTACAGCATTCTAGAAACATCATACAAAAGGGGCACACACATAATCTAGGTATGATTCACTAATGAGATGGCAGGACACACACTGTGACTTTGAAGATATGCAGGGTGTAGCAGAAAAAGAACTAATGCTATGATCACAAATCATATACACATTGCACTCTAGTTAGTGTGCCCGTTAAAAAATCCGTTTAACTGGAAGCAATTCTAATTGCTAAGCTCCTTGAAAATCCTTTAGGAGCTTAGATTTACCATAAGACTACCACAAGGTCAGGAAACAGTTTTTTTTAAAAAAAGGGCTTTGGGGGGATGGGTCAGTATTTTTAACCAGTCAGGAGTCTTCTGAGACCGGTGTATCCACTGAGGTAGACAGATTTGCCATGTTCAATTTAAGAATGTCCAATAATATTCACTCATTCCACCACCAAACTGTTTACAGTTCTGAAGTTATAACGAATGATTTTGATGAGAGATGTTAACTTTTGCTTACTTTCTATGAATGGGATTTTACACATATCTAAATTTATCTTACAGACATGTTTTATCAGATATAATGTAATTGGCAGCATAGTAGGATATTTTTGTTCAGCAGATATCTGGGAAAGGGAGAACTCAACAGTTCACAAGTTTCATGCTTCCTGTTCTAAGGTGTCTATGAGGAGGTCTGATATATCTAATCACCAAGGGCTCCACGTGCTGCTTTAGTTGCTCGAGATGCTCTAATATGTTCTTCTTTGTGATGATCCCCAAGACAATCCTGAAACAGATTATTATGCTAATAACTGTGTGAGAAATTAAATTAAAAGAGCTTCCAATCATGAAAAAGAAAAAAATAAAAACATGTACCGTAAGAATGAGTTTCATGAACTTTAGAAAATAAAAACAGAAATGATTTAAAGTTCCAAGTTACTTTTGCATAAATTCTAACTTTCAAAAGTGACACAATACTAATCGTAAATATTAGTGGGTTATTTTTCTTTTTAAATTAAAAATAATAATTATGAAAATTTTGAATGAAGATGACTACAAAGCAAAGTACAAAAGAAACTTAATATTGATACACAGCTATAGACCTCTGATATGTAGAGTGTCATTTATAATGTTCTTTTCTTAGGGGCAAATATTTTTCCAATTTCTATGATGTCACAACATAGCAGCTATCATCTGGATCTACCTTAGTGGTGAAAAGGTAGGAAAAGGCTGTGAGAAGACTTAAGAAATCCTGTGGATTTTACTATAATTTCAAATTAAAATTAAAAACAATGTGCACTAAATAAACAATGCTGACCAAAAGAAACGCTCCCTAATGTTCAGGAGCTGTGACTGCCACTTCTTAAAGTAAATTAATAAAATGTATTTATGATTAGGGATCAAAAGGACTTTTATGCATTTTTTCCTAAATAACAATTTTCTCATTTAGCCTGTCACTGTTACCACATCAAGCAAAGTGATGGACATAAATTCTAATAATTAGGATACATGAAAATATTAGATTGCTTCTAATTAAAACAAAATTATGGTTACTGGTCTTATAATGGAAATTAATGTGGCAATATAAACAGTGAAAATTTAAAAAAAACCTTAAAAACACTTTAATCTTTCAATTCTGGAAGCCCATCCAAAATACCCTTCAGGGTGACTGGAAATTTCCTTGATGATCTCATTAAGTCAACTTCCCTGTTAAACTGCCTTTGAATATTCAGAGTTGAAGGATGTCACCAGGAGACTTCAAAGTAGCTTGTTCCTATAACTATGTCCAGGTGTAAAAGAGTTACTTAGTTTGATGACTGGGATGGGAGACTGGTGAGCAAGGATAGAGAATGGGAAGGACAGAAATGGGTTCTCTGCTCATGTTCTCTCCTTATTATTTTTAAAATAATGTATCGATCCTTAAGAATCAATTGAAAAGTTCTTGGAGCATGGGAGCAACCTCCTCCTCCAAAAAAAGCTCAGAAAGTGCACTATATAAAGTGAACATTCACTCATTCAAGAGATGTTCTTCCTTGACTAAACATTGCAGGTTTTTATTCAGAGTTGAAGGATGTCACCAGGAGACTTCAAAGTAGCTTGTTCCTATAACTATGTCCAGGTGTAAAAGAGTTACTTAGTTTGATGACTGGGATGGGAGACTGGTGAGCAAGGATAGAGAATGGGAAGGACAGAAATGGGTTCTCTGCTCATGTTCTCTCCTTATTATTTTTAAAATAATGTATCGATCCTTAAGAATCAATTGAAAAGTTCTTGGAGCATGGGAGCAACCTCCTCCTCCAAAAAAAGCTCAGAAAGTGCACTATATAAAGTGAACATTCACTCATTCAAGAGATGTTCTTCCTTGACTAAACATTGCAGGTTTTTATTTATTTATTTTTTAAGCCATCAATTCACTTGATTTTATTGTTGTAGTCAGGAAATGTGAAAATCTTGGCAATTAATTAAATATGATAACACCAGTTTCTTATTCATGCTTTTCTTTCCAATGATATAGAATGATTCATTTCAGTCACTGTCATCTATATTGGTAAATTCTGCCAAATCACAAAATATACTGTGAGGAAAGTTACAAATGTATCAGGACCCAGTGGCAAATTTAGAATTTTACAAAGTAATCTCTATATAAAGTAAAAGCCCTAGAAGAGGGAGAAAGACATATTAATGGAGAAGGGTGATTTGAGCATAAAAAGGTCACAGTGCTGCTTTATTAATTTGACAGAGTGGAAGGAAAACAATGTAAAATGTGACTCATATAAAAAATCATTTGCTGTTTCCTTTCCAACTAAAAGCCAATGATGTAAGAGTTAACATGGCATAACCCTGCATTTCCCAAGTATGTTCCAAGAAACACTGGTTCCCATGATTTCTTCCCTATCCTTCCCTGCAACCAAAAAACAGTTGCATTTTCAAACAAGTCTGGAAAACTATGTATCCTATTTTACCCCCATCTGGAAATCAAAGAATTATCAACATATTATAAGTTCTGAGGAGTTCCACAGTAAAGAAACCTCGATTGTATTTAATCCAATACTTTCCAAATTTAGTCACAAAATGTTTTGAGTCACTCCTATTAACACCCTGCTAATTCCACCAAGATTAACTGATTTTGAAAAATTCTAAGTTAAAATATTAAGTGCAGAAAATCAATACCTAACTGAAATGTTTATAATTTACAAACATCTTTCCCTTTCATCTCTCTATTCTTTTTTTCTCCTTGCACCTAAGGTTCCAGATTTGTTCTGTCTCTTCCTTCAAATAACTATTTTCTACTTCTAAGGATGCAGTATGAACTACACATCAATGATAGCCATGCGGAACTTCATAGTCTCCATTAAAATATATCATTTGCTTTCTGGGTTTTAAATCATTTAGGTGAGAAAAAAACACCCCACTTCCTTATACGCTTCAAACAAAATAAAATCCCACGAGCTGCTTCCCTAAATGATCTCTTTTCTTCCTGTATACGTGTCAATTTATTTTACTTGACAGACAGAAATAAGGAAAATATGATGAAAGCGATTAAACATATTCTCTTAGAAAAGGTCCAACCCCTTCTTACATAAAATAAGCAGGACCGGACAAAATTTTAATTAGCTATCCACCCCTCGCCCTATATACTTCGTTATTTTTACACTTTCTTTTAAACATTTTCCTTTCTAATATCTATGCTGCCAAATGCCTGGGAATTAATCAGCAAGCTGAATATGAAAATTAATCCATAACAGCTCTGTGATCATAGTTAACCTTAACTCAACAGAGTAACATTTATATTTGTTAGTACATAAAAGAAAAAACCATGCCAGGAACAGAAAACAACTTGAAGCAAATAATAGTTTGTAACAACTCAGCTTAGGTTCCAGTTGTGCATTTAATAAATAAAAGGCCTCAAGGACCAGCAAAGCTTTATGAAAACTTACCCCATTTAGTACTTAATGAGTTTTTAAACTTAACAAAGTTGGTGCCATTATTTAATCAAACAATATTACACAAAGAAAAATATTAAGAGTAATAAGTTATGATATATATCTCTTCTCCAATCAGTATCTGTGGTATTTAATAATTCTAAACTCCCTGCCTTTAATTAAGAGCTTTACCTCTATAATGATTTCATATCCCTAAAGAGTTATTTTAATTAGCACGGTGAAAAACACTAAACATACATCTAATTCTCTAGTTTTATATTTCTCTTCCTAACCCAATCTAATAGATTGGCCAAGAAAATGTTTTAGTAGTTTTAGAAATCACAAAGAAAGAGAGTTTCTGTCAGTCACTTATAATGCAAAATAGTAGCAAGAGACTGGGTTTTAAAATTGGAAAGACAGGTCAAACACGGTGGCTCAAGCCTGTAATCCCAGCACTTTGGGAGGCCGAGGTGGGTAGATCTTGAGGTCAGGATATCGAGACCATCCTGGCCATGGTGAAACCCTATCTCTACTAAAATACAAAAAATTAGCCAGGCATGGTGGCACACGCCTGCAGTCCCAGCTATTCAGGAGGCTAAGGCAGGGGAACCACTTGAATCCGGGAGACAGAGGTTGCAGTGAGCCGAGATCTTGCCACTACTCTCCAGCCTGGTGAAAGAGTAAGACTCCGTCTCAAAAAAAAAAAAAAAAAAAAGTTGGAAAGGCAATGTGATTCCCTGAACCACAGCTTGCTCAACACATGACTTTGGGCAAATTATTAAAGCTTTTTAAACTTTAATTACTACATCTGTAAAGTAGGGATATAACTTCTTACTTTTGCAGAGGTCCTGCAAAGTTAAATGAGAAAATATGAAGGCGTTCAATAAACAAATATCCTTCCTTTCTGGTTTTTTTTTCCCTCTTTTCTCTAGACAAGAGTCACATATTCTGTCACCAATGTGTTTTGTAAAAAAAAGTTAAAAAGAGCTGGGTGCGGTGGCTCACACCTGTAATCCTAGCACCTTGGGAGGCCAAGGCAGGTGGATCATGAGGTCAGGAGTTCAGGACTAGGCTGGCCAAGACGGTGAAGCCCTGTCTCTACTAAAAAAATACAAAAATTAGCCGGCGTGGTGGCGTGCGCCTGTAATCCCAGCTACTCAGGAGGCTGAGGCAGGAGAATCTCCTGAACCTGGGAGGCAGAGGTTGCAGTGGGCCGAGATTGTGCCACTGTACTCCAGCCTGGGGGACAGAGCCAGACTCTGTCTCAAAAAAAAAAAAAAAAGTTAAAAGAAAAACAACTGCTGTGACTCTCTAAGTGTCTAGTATTTCAACCAGCTTTACACTGTTCAGGATTAGCCATCCAGTTCATGCATAATCCATAATCCATACCCTCTGTTTTTCCTTTCTAGCCTGTTATTTGCCTTCAGATAAAACAATGTTCTTAATTTCCACAAGGAACAATATACAGTGGAAATAAAGGGGCCTAAAGTAGGAAGTGTGAAGAAACAGATCCCAGGTCCAGGGAAAGAAAGCAGTGGTTATGGAGTAGTATATTTGCCAAATTAATTCTGCGTATTAAGTCTCCACAACCCTCGTGTCATCTGTCTCTTTCCTATATTCCTGTCAACGGAGAAACACTGGCAGTTTACACTGGCAGTGTAAAAGGCGGAAAAACAAATTATCAATGTATACATTTTAATACATGAGGATTTATTTGTCCTTAGCAGTTATATAAATATAAAAGATTTGTGTGTAGAGAAGGTAGACAAAAGGAAACAAAGCATTCGTTAAAGGTGGTTTTTAGCTAATTTACAAATTTCATTTAATTATATATTCTTTCCTTCATTACATAATAAATCAAATATTGGCTGAAAGACTAAACAGCAAAATATCTAGAAATTAGTTAGTGTACTAGAAATGTATACACTAAAAATAAAACATTTACAAAACTACAACAGGTTTTTGCAGTGCTCCATATAGGTTAGGTCCATTATTCCCCTAGGAAAAGAAACACTCTAAGTTCAACATGCTTTCATGCTGGAAATCTTATAATGCCTCTTTTCCAACTTTGAGCTATTCTTTACAAATGTCACTATGCTTGGCCAAGAGCAGGCAGATGACATCTTTCTTATTCTTTAGTAAACGTGAAATCTAATTGACTGATCCTGTATTTGGGACTATACTCTCTGACAGACTTTCCCATCTGGGAGCTGACTTGCATGCTCCCCTCATAACTATGTAGATTCCACTGAAAAAGGTCATATATTCTAGCAAGTGAACTGATTCCTGTGGTACCAGACTTACCCATTGTGAGTTACAAGGCACTGCCTCAGCCCCAGCTTTCGGAAAATATCCACCACAATCTCCATTGGGGTGTGGTCTGTCACTGTGAAAGGGCTCATGTCAAGAATGCTTCGAAGCTTCAATGGCCGAGGACTTTCTGCTGGAAGAGATGGGGTGTGCTGTGCAAAGCACACCCGAGAACTGCCAACAATACCTTCTTGCTTTTTTCTGGCACTTTCTGAAAAAAGAGAGAGAGAGACTAACACTTTAAAAATGACAGACTTTTAAATAGGCAACCTGTTTATTCAGAGATTAAAAAAAATTAGTGTATCCTGTGACTTCTGATGGCTTCATTTTTTTCTATCTTCTCCTTAACCAAGAAAGGAGTCAACCAAAAAGCCATTTTAGCAATTTGATTGAATTAGAAGCCAATAATAATAATATCACCTTCGTGGAAAGAATTTTTTGGTAAAGTTATATCGTACAATTTTCTTAACTGAAGCTGTTTTCTAACTTGGGGGCTAAGGAATGGGTTTGGAATATGGGATTTTAAAACCTGCACAAATTCTGAGCACAGTTTATTATAGGAATTCATCATCAAATGAAGCCTGCCTCTGCTGAATGTTACTTATTCTGCACTGGAGGTGGCACTAAAGAGTGTTTCATCCTTGCTTTCACTATGCTGTGTTCCTCCATCCCTATGAATTCACTGGTTCTTTTCCTTTTCTCATGTTGAAGTATAATTTTCTAGGAGTGTCATGAACATTACAGATGAGATCAAACTACAATTATGCAGATGATGCACACAGACTGATCTTTGGGGACTGTCTTCTTTGTAAAGGCTTTGCTAATTTCTCATCTCCAGTGTGCTCTGCTTGAAGTTCTGTCCTGCTGCCTACTTCTACTCCACCTTTGAAAGAACTAAAAAAAAAAAAAAAAAATCTGAATGAAACTGCTGATTAAAAAAAAAAAAAGAAAGTGCTAGACAGGAAGTAGCAAAGATGGAGAAAAGTTCAGAGATCACACAAGACAGAGAAGGAAACTCAACAGAGAGAATTTGAAAACAGTCATTCAGCTTTGTTTCTACTTTGAGTTAATATTAAAATTGAGTATATACAAATATGGTGTTTGTTATAGTGAAAATATTGTGGCCAGGTGTGGTGGCTCAGGCTTGTAATTCTAACACTTTGGGAGGCTGAGGCAGGAAGATCACATGAGACCTGCAGTTCAAGACCAGCCTGAGCAACATAGGGAGACTCTGTCTCTACAAAAA